GCCGCGCTGCCGGCCGGCTGTCGGCCGGCTTGCCCGTCGGCCCTGTCGGCCGAGCGCGATTGCTCCGAATCGGAAGATTGACCGAGCGGAGTATCGCCGGTCGGCATTCGCAGTGCATTTCGCAAAGCAATACGTCACATAACAACAAGCGCCGCTTGCGCCGCGTAGGCTGGCCCCGTAGGCCGTCGACGCCGGCGCAGCGGTCTGCAGGGAGGGCTCCAGTGTCTCTGTCTCTTAAACGATGACCGTTAGCGACCAAGTGATCAAAAAGAGATCGTTTGCAAATTGGATTTACTAATTTTGCTGTCCCATGTGCTCTTCATTTCCCTTCCCCAGCCCTTCGGGCAGTGGCGGCAGTGGCCACTTCGCGTTCCGGGCCCCGCTTGTCTCTCCCAGTTCAAACCCGTTCGCTCCCTTCGTCCCTTCGCCGCCCGCTTCCAGCATGCTCCCAGTGTCCTAGTTTCTGTTGGGCATCACTCGAACCTCCTACACCCCCACCCATTTTGCATCCAACAGCCCCACCCCCTACTTCCCCCTACTCCGGGTCATGCTCCCCCCCTCCCTTTTTGCAATGTAAACAATGACGCTTTTGTCCAGCCCAGCGTCGTGCACACCGTGCATGTGTGTGTGTGTGTGCGTGTGTGTGAGAGAGAGAGAGGCTGGTTGGCACGAGGAGTCCCCTCCGGAACAGACTGCATCCAAAACCAGAGAGAGCATATTTTTAATTCATTTTTCAAATATGGCTTTTTACTATTAGTTTTGGCAATGTAACGGCGAAGGACGAAGGATGAGGGACAAAGGGTGAAGGAGAGCGGATAAAGGGACAAAGGGTAAGAGACGAAGGACAGGGAGGAAGTAGTCGGTGGTAGTACCGCCGTCCGGGTGGTGGCTGGTAGTGCCGCCTGAAGGGTATTTTGTTTCCTCAGATGCCGCGCTACCGCCCGCCGCCCCCGCCGCCCCTCCACGAGGAAAGCACGCCCTAATGAAGCGCTGGCCGGTGTCCGCGGTGTCCCTTTCCCGCGCGCTCTCACTCACACACACACACACACAGAGTGAAAAATCGATTCCAGTTTCACTGCCCTTGAAGTGAAGCCATCGAGCCCGGCCGGCGCCATGTCCACAGAAAGAGAAAGAGAGACAAGCTAGAGAAATAACGTTTCGAAAGGCTCGGGCTGACGTCCTGCAGGGCAGAGCCACGGCCGTTCGTTTTCCAAACTCGCTGCGCTGCCCGCTGGCTTCTCCGCTGCGCCCTGCACTTCTCTCGCCGTCGTCCTGCCCCGTTGTCGTCCTGCCCCGTTGTCGTCCTGCCCCGTCGACGGCCTCCCCGTCGCGTCCTGCGCCGCCCGCTTGTCTAACTTGCAGATGAGGAAGGAATAGATTGAGAAAGACGCGCTCGGGGCGGTGTTCTAAATCGCTGGTGGAGACGCATGAATTAGAATCCTAATCGCGCCTTTTTCTGTTATTTTTTCTTTCCCCTCTTTAAAAGACGATTTGTCGCCGACCGTCAATCTGGGTCAGGCGATGAGCAAGCAGCCGGTTGAGAAAACAAAAGCAACATGACTCGGATGCGTGTTTCGTGCAGTCTAATCTTTTCTCGGGAGTGCGCCTATGCCTCTCTTTGCGTGTGCGTGTCTGTGTGAGCGGTGCGACCACGCCGTGCATCGCGTTGTCCCCTGTCGAATCAAGGCGCCCGCCAATTCATCTCGCCCGTCACCCCTCCTCCCCTTTCCGACACCCCCGCGCCGCGCTGGGGGCACTCGGCCGCCTAGTCCGCCGTCGTCGCCGGCCAGGCTCGCCTCGCCGGGCTGGCCTTCCCTCGCCTCCAGCGAGATCAAAGGCTTCCGACCCGGCCTCGTCCCGGGGCGCGCTCTCGAAGGGGTCCCTGCTCGGTGGCGGCGCGGTGGCGGCGCGGCGGCGGCCGGGACGGGGTGCTAAGTGTGGGGGAGGCGCGCCTAGGCCGCCTAGGCGTGGGGGCCCCGGTCGCCCTGCCAGATCCGTGTTATTAGATTCGCGGTGGAAAGGCTTCGACAGACTTATTAAATTCCGGGTCGGCGGGGCGCGGCGGCGGGAACCAAGTGGCTGTGAAGGTGTAGTCCGTGGCCTTGACGACGGCGGCCTGGGCGGCGCTGACGGCGTGCTGCCGGGCCGCCAGAGTCGACGTCGGCGACGAGGCTGCGAACCCCGTGACACTGCGGCTGGAAGTTCCCAACCCCAACCCCAGGGAGCGAGCCAGCACGGCTAGCACTACATCCCGGTCCGGGTCGTCCGGGTTGCGCGTGCGGGTTGTCCGGGTCACCCGAGCGCCGCGAGTCGCCGTGCACGCCGTGCACACCAATCCAAGCACTCGGCTTGCGAACACTTTTTAATGGCTTGGAAACGGGAGCGTTCCCTTTTCCCAATATGTGGGGCACGCAGCGCCGCGCGGCGCCCGCCCCTCCGCCCCCTCCCCTGCCCCGCCCCCCGCCGCGCCGCTGCAAGCAACAGGAATATGGCGGGACCCGGTCAGCGTGTATCGGTTTGGTTTCGCGCGCAGTGGCCGCGCCTCGCTCTACGTGCGACTCGACGGCGACGGCCGGGGGCTGTTATTCCGAAATGGGGTTTCTGTCTCTCTCGCGCCGTCGCGGGACGCCCCGTGAGTGCGAGAGAGACAGCGGCGATGGTTCGGAATGAGCCCGCTGCGCGGTGCTGCGCGGTGCTGCGCGGCCGAGACGCCCGCAAGTCGCCGCGACCGGACTGGCAGTTACGGCCGTCGACGGCGTGGCGGTGCTCGCTGCAGGCGGCTTCAGGCCGATTCCGTCGCTGTCTCTCTCGCACTCCCACGGCACGCCCCTCGAGAGCGAGACGGACTCAGCCTGCTGCGGGCAATACAGCACTGCGCACCGCGCGGCACCGCGGCACTGCACCATGCATGCAGGGACAGACCGAAAAGGAGGTCTGTCCAATTACTTTTTGAGGTGGGTTGCCTGCTTGGCTGGCTGGCTCGCTGGCAAGGCTGCCTTGGCCGGCCAGTAAGTGAAGCTTCCCTGAAAGGCAGCGCCGGGCAGCGCGCTAATTACCAACAGGTCTTTTACAATTGTTGCTGCTCTTGTTGCTGCGCTGCTGTGACCCCATCCTACTCCATCGGGCTGCAATCTCGCGCCAGAGACGGTCAAATGCGGTCGGGGATCAGATCTGCTGGAGCGCGTTCCGAAACGCGCGCTAAACTTGAGCAGTGGCCGTGTCGGTCTTGAGGGGCAGGATGGGCCACTGTGTGCCCTGTCGCTAGTGTGGCTGCACGAACAGACTGGGGTGCGCGGCGTCCATTTGTCTGCGTAGCGAGGCCCGATGCTCCTTGGTGATCCGCCAGCACAGTAACGAGTTATCGATATGCAACCGAATGTTGATGGGCAGCCATCAAAAACCGCCAGAGTGGCTAATTATTTTCAATCCTGGCCGTGACCCCACACGCCATGCCGGTGCCGCCGGGCTGCACCTGCCGATTGTCACACCCCGACCAAAGGGGGGGGGGGGTATTGCTGGTATTGCCAGCGAGCGTCACTCGCGCCGTTGCCTTGCGGCGCCCCGGCTTAGTGACATCTGAGACCGCGGAGACCGTGGAGGGGCACTTCGGCACTCCGTGCGCTGCGCACTGCCTGCACACTGCTACCCGGCCTTGAACCGCCGCCCTGCCGCGGCATGCCGTCCCGCCGTGCCTCAAATGTCGGCGCACTCCTTTATGCATAATGCAGATGCTGGGCCCAGCCAGCCCAGCAGACCGATTCCGAGTCACTTTCGCCGCACTGGCAGGAGTCTCCCTCACTCGTACTCATGGGGCTTCTCTTATGGGTGCGAGGGAGACAGAGCGACGGATGGCAGCCTCAGCTTGGATGGAATCAGACCGCAGGCGACGTCCCACCCTCCTCTCAAGGCCCCACCTCCTTGGACCTCGTTGGGATAGGCAGCGCCTGGCGGCGCCCTACCCTCCGGTCTAGCCTTTCAAGTTCAAGACGACGGCGCCCGGGCAGGTAGGCCACCGCGCCTGGCACACTGTCTCTCTCTCTCTTCGCGGGGTCGCATTGCCTCGCGCAGCGCCGCCGCTAGCCGCCGCTATTACCGTTCTGACACATCACGTCGGCCTATCCATCATGCAAGAGACTCCTCGGCGCTCCGGCCCGCCAGGCCGCCAGGGTCCGCCCTATCCCTCCCTGGGGTCGTTGGATCGGCTGGGGCAGGGGAGGGGCCGGACGGGCCCTGCGGAAGCACATCGGTGTCGTCATCAGAAAGCCAACTGAAGCCATGTGCCTTTGATTTCAGAAAGCGCGACCGACTTCCATTGGCAAAAGTACGCAGGGAAGTTACATCGAAATAGAGAGAAAAGTGCCCGCAGGGCTATGAGTTTTCATGACCTGTACATAGCCTACTGTGGGGAAGCGTATGCATGTTTGATGCGTCCAGAGTCGCTGTGATTGCAGCTGAATTAGTGATGGCACAGGGACTGCCCTGTCCCTCGTAAGCTGTTGGTCAAGCACCCTATGATGCAACATGGTATCATGCCAAAAAGTAGACAAAATAAAGAAATATGCAGAAGTGATTCAGTCACACCCCGACCAAGGGGGAGGGGGGAGGAGTTCGTATCGGCGGCGAATATTCTAGGTGAGCTTCGCTACTCCACGCGCTACTACAGCGCAGATACTCCGGCGCGCGGTGACGTCACTCTAGGCGTTGCTCGTCGGGCCCGCAGCGCGCAGGCGTCGCTACTCCCCGCCCCGCAGTGGTGTGGCGTGGGGTATGTCCGTGCGGAGCGGGCCCAAAAGGTCCAAAAGTGAGCGACTCCACTATTTTGTTTCAAAAGTGAGAAAAAGTGAGAATAGTTCGCCGCTGGCATCCTTGGACAGAGGACTGGTCAGGACGAAAGCGGCCCGTGTCCCCCCCCCCAAAAAAAAAATCCACCCCCTCCCCTCCCCTCCCTTCAGACTTCCCTTCTCCCAGGGGTTCAAGGGCGAAAATCAAGGTAGACGGCATCGGTCAAGAGTGTATATATTTACACGCATATTTATTTATCATTACATTAACACAGCATCAACAGATTGTATGTACAATATGACAGAATTTAAACCCCCCCTCCAAGGCCGAAAGACTGACTACATTGGCCTTGATTTGATTACTTGGTGGAAGTACGGGTGCGCTTGTTCCAAGCAAAGTTGATGCCATAATTTTTCACCTTGGACTTGGTTGGTTTGGGCTGCTCGATGTACCACTGCCATCCATTCTTTTCACAGAAGGCGATGGCTTCCTCTTCAGACGCAAAGGGCACCTTCATGTTTGACAATGGGTCAGCACTGGAAAATTTAGGCAACAGGTTTATTTGTTAGTACACTAACAAAAGATTTCTTTAAAAGACTGAAAAATTTGAGAGAGTGTAACCTACGTTGATGACCATCCCATCAAAGGATTTTCCCATCGCTCACGGCCGTCAAATTCCATTTCCCAGTGATGAGTGTTGGCAGAGCCAGACTGCATTGTGTTGCGAGTTGGTTTGAAGATACGAACAAGCCTAGTCTTAACTTGCTCCTCAGGAATTCCTGTCACAGGGGCAAGATACTCCTAAAACATAAAGACAAGGCTTTGTTAATTAACATCATATAAACTACTTTACTTAAAAACTTTGAAAACAAACAAACAAAAAAACATTACCTTTCCTGAAACAGTAATGGTTACTCCAGCCTGATGAGGGTGGGTGCCAGAGTCAACGGTAACTAAAGGAGCTTCCTTTTTTTTCAGCTCCTCATCAAGGATATCTCGGCGAACGGCTCCAACGGAAAATGGGGCAGTGGTTTGCCTGCCAGCCCTGAAAGTTTCATCGCAACATCGATTAGAAAAGAATAAGAGAAGAAAAGGTACCAAAGTATTGTTGTTAAAGGGTCCAAATTAGTGCGGAATAAACCAAAGGCAAAATGTTGACATGTAAGGGGTCAATCGAGATTAACACAATGGTTTACTTAGTTGAAGGAAGTATGATCCACGACAAAGATTAACAAAGACTTCTTAGGTCTTCACACAAAAATGGAGTCAGCAAGAAAGAAACAATATTGAAGTTGACAAATGATACTTGGTCAAAAAAGAGAGGTTAAGTGACATTATATGTGAATCAAGGGCAAACTACAGAACCTAGCAAATTTTCCTCGTGGACAGGTAAACAAAACTGTCATCAGAAAAACATTAATAACAGACAAACAGAATGACGCTTACTTGGACACATTTTTGAAAATGGAAATGGCACTTCGTGATAAAATTCTCGACGCCATTTTGATCTTTCTACCCGAAGAAGTAGGGGGTGTTTTGAAAACCAAAGGGGCGCAGGTATGAAAATTCCTTGTGCCAGAAGAAAACCTACTCAGCAAATTGTCATACAGAACGTTATTCGCAGCTGAAATTATTGACCGGCACATGTTTTTATTCAAATTCTTTGTTTTGATCTGGCTGCTAGCTGCGACGTGTTCGTTTCCTCGAAACATTTAAGATACTTTTGCACCTTGGGATTATGAACAGTTTTCTCTAGAATGGATCCAGAAAGGCTTCAAATAGTTGACATTGTCAACAAAATATTTGGTGAATCGGGTTGGAGTTTCAGTATTTCTAATGTCGCCGTTGGTGTGTTACGTTCTTTCATTCTATGTTTTAAAATAGATAAAGGATTTGTGATTCAACATTTTTGACCTGTTTATATTTTTAGATTATATTGATGACAGCCGCTCAGGAAATTATTCTGCTGGTGCATCTGCTGTAGTACGGGTTCAGCGTTCCAATGGGGTTTTTCGAGAAGACATTGGATTTGGATCAAATTGGGGCCCTAACAAAGCTGATGTTATTGCAAAAGCTAAGAAGGTAATTTATTTTGTTTTTATCTATTAACACCATTTTAATCATTTTTTAATGACAATGTGTATCTGTACAGGATGCTGTTACAGATGGTTTAAAAGGTGCTGTAATTAATTTCGGAGGTGACATGGCTCGACAAGTGCACTCAGTAACTCCAAGAAAATCTATGACTGAAAATTTAAGGGTCTCGTCAGGCCTCCAAGGCCCTAGCTTAATAGCTCAGTCAAATGCTCAGCCTGCTAACCAACACAATGGCAAAGCAACCAGCCCTTCTCAAGCACCTGTTCTAAAAAGTTCAGTTTCTAGGTCTTTAGGTATGGAAATCTTTTATCTTTTTGATTTTTCACCTTTGCTGATGGCAAATTTGTTTGAATTCTACCTCAAGATATTGTTTATCTTTTCCAACTTAGGTGAGAAAACAGCAACAGAACCTCCTAGTTTTCAAGTCATGTCATCAAAATCGGCCTTTACTCCAAACACCAAGTCCACTTTCGTTCCAGCTCCCACTAAACAACCTCCTGTGCCTCAACCTACATCCCCCCTTGCTGTTGCATTACCACGCCAACCTCAGGCTTCAACGGTTTCCAAAAACACATTGTCGGAAGAGGAATTGGCTAAAATGGAGAGGATAAAGAGGCAGCAACAACGCAAGGAAGAATTTCTAAAGAAACATCAACTTGAGCAAGCGCAAGCTCAGTCAAAATCTCAAGACAAGGGAACTACTCAACAGTCAAGTCGAGAACCTCTTAAAGAACAGCAATCTCGGAATCAACCGAGTTCTTCATCGAGAGGTCAGACCCAACAGTTAGTCTTGACAAAATGTATCATGATTTGTAGTGCGAAATTAACTGATTTCTTTGTGAATAGGTAATGGACCAAATGGATTGATAGAAGCGGATGATGAAGTAATGCTCTCCACTCAGGACATGGAAGCCATTTCAGCTATTGCTGCTAATAACACAACAAATATTTCTAGGCATTCTCCTATGCTTTCATCCCCTTCCATAACAAGGTATAAATCTTTTTCTACTTTGAAAGTGTCTTTGATGATTAATGCTTTGTCATTCTTTATTCAAGAAATCGGCATTATTATATTTTTTGTCTCCAGAAATGTTGGCTCAGAGCCTGCTAAACCACAGCCTACTAGACCCAGCAAGCGACCAGACCTGAATAATTTTGCATTTAATCCAGAGAAGAAGCAAAGAAGTTAACAGAATAGGTATTAGCTTCTATTGTAAATGATCGTCATGTAAATAATGAGGTTCTTTTTTTGAGTTTTTCACTCATAAATTTAACTTGGTGTATCAATGAGTATCAATGATTTTCAATTCTATGTGAAAACCATTAAATTTGAGATTCTTGTTGATAGATGATAAGAGACAAAATCTTAAATTTTTTTTGTATTATGTGTCAATTACTAATTCACTGGTGTGATCATCTTGGTGTTGATGCCTTGAATGAATTAAATTGAAGGAGAAGGGTAGACTAAAAACAAAACAGTATTATTTTTGATGAGATTTTTATTACCTATAGTTGACTAAACCTATTCTGGTCTATGAAATTTCCAGGCCTTCCTTGAGGACCATTGACACACTGTCAGGACAAAGTTGCCCACTTCACATCCCACTACAAAATAATTGGCACTCAAATCTTCATTGCCTTTTAAAGGCATCGAAGACAGTTAACATTTAAAAAGAAAAACAGGAAAAGGAAACATTTAAAAAAAAAGTCAACTACAGTAAAGTATACAGGGTCAATGATTCCAAAGGAAGACTAGGGGCCAACAGACTTGTTGTTGACAAGCTGCAGCACTGATATGACACTTCCTTAACAAGTTGCATCACTGATGACACTTCCTTTCATCTCTCAACAGCTCAGTTTGCATTACCTCATTATCACAAGGAGCATGATTGCCTCACACCGTAACAAGTGATGGGGAAAAAAAAAGAAGAAGAATCTCAAAACAAAAAAAAAATAACTATCAACCACATTTGGGGAAGATAATAACGACAAATCTAACAACAATAACCCTACACATACAATTTAAAACCTGATTGCTAAAAGACAACCTTTGGCCTAATAGCAAACAGGATACAAATTGTGCCTCTTTTTTTTTTCAAATTCACTTATTTTCTAAAAAAAAAATGTAAAAAATTCTACCTGTAGATTCTACATGCAGGTTTGATGTGTGCCAGTACAGACTGCTAAATGACTAATTCAACTTGGCAGTGTAATATTAAGTCAGCCAGCGCCTGTACAATACTCTAGTTCAGTTTCTTTGTACTATCATATTCAATTTTCACTCTACTAGCTATTTACTACTTGTTGAGCCCATTTCAACAGCAAACACAGTACATATCTACACATCTTTAAAATCCTTTGAGCAGTCATCGGTGAAATTTGTGGATTTTTAACTTAATACTAGCCATTGGGAACAACATTAAAAAGAGGAAGAAAATCAATGTTGAGCATTATGTAGAAAAATACTCAGCCTTGCATTAACCACAACCTGACTACCAATTTGAAGGAGAAGGAAAGCGGTCATGAAAGGGTAGAAGATCAAGGGACGGACCACCTCTTAACAATCAACAATAAAGGCCGCTCCCGTAACGACACATAATCACAGGTTTCACTAACTTTAACACTCCAACACTAAAATCAGCTTATTTGACCAAATTTAAAAAACATTTACATTTGATATAAAACATGAATTAAAACAAATGGAAAATTCCATTTCCACAAGAGTAAAATTTAAGACAATAAACAGACCTTGTACTATAAAATTATTGATCTTTTAAATCAATTTATAAAAGTTGATAAAAGAACATTGTGCAACATCAGTAAGGTACATGTAAGTAATTAATGTCAGTTGCAAGTCTATTTTGGAGAGACCAGCCTTCCTGCTCACAGCTTTCTTTAAGGCACCTTGATTAGGATCATATTCCCAAAATCAATGTGTGCGCTCACACACAAGAAATATCTATGTCTTTAAAATAATTTGAAATTCTTTGATTACTTTTAAAAATGACTGGAGGGAAATGCAAATGAAATGCTTGCTCTATGGGTGTGGGCCCATTCATTCAAAAATTAACAGAGAATAAGAAGAACAAAAGAAAAAGTGTCCTCTGACCATTAAACACTTGTCAGTAGATTTCAGCACACATGCACTTTCTTAACGTTACTCGAACGTACCTCAAAAGCAAATCATTATCACAAGAATGAGTCCAACAAAGTATACCTAGTGACTGCACCTTCTTTTCAGGCACTAAAGCTTCACTTCAAACAGAAATACAATTGTGTTCAATTGAATTCCAGTTGAATTTTACAGATAAAGAAGAAAGCAACAAAACAAATCAAACATAACGGTCAAAAAGCTACAATGTTGCTGGCGCAATATGTTCACGCTCTTGACGCTCCTGCTGCTGCACAGCAACTGCGGCTTCAACTAAAAGGTAGAGACACTTGAATTTGTCTCGATCTTCAGTGTCATCGGGAGGTGTTGGAGGTGGTGTCTCCTGTTGGTGTGACGATAGTGGTGTACTTAGACGTGTGCTCCAGTACTCCGCGTCTGTTTGGGTGATGACATTCTGAGGGCCCCCCAAACTCTCCTCTCTATCAAAAAACAGAACCAAAAAAAAGGTAATTTCAAGTTTAGTTGCTAAAAATTATTTTTAAAAAATTAAACACAGGGTGCTAAAGGATAGCTGAACAAATTCTCACCTAGGTGAATTCAATGGTGCACGATGCTGATTCGAACTGTGAGCAGCCTTGCAGTCATTCTGACAGCCATATCTACAGACGATGACAGAATGCCAGGGCTGGGTTGAGGAGGGTGGGGTGGCTTCCTCTTCAGAAGGTGAACTACTCTCGTAGTCATTTGGCGAGTCCTCCTCACTTCTATACATGACTGTGTCATCGTAGTCGTGATCGCTGCCATGTCTCTTGCTGCTGCTCCCTTGCGGACTCGAACTCGACGAGCCACTCACTTGACTGCCGCCACTGCTTCCCCCTAGCTTCTTCCCTCTCCTGGAGATTGTGTAATTCTGGGGGTCGTGGCCCTCGCGTCTGATCATTTCCGGGAGTACTCTTCGTCTGGCGTTTATGAACCAATTGCACACCTGGAGAGAAAACACAGAAAAAACACATCAGTACCAGTACCAATTCGTAGCAGTTATCAACAAAAGAAATAGTGCATGACAAGACAAAGTACCTGCAGCACGGTCAGGTTGGCCTCTTTGGACAGCGACACCTTCTCGGCGTCGTTGGGGTACGCGTTGTAGCGGTGCTCGTACAGCCACCGCTTGAGGATCTTGACGGAGTACTTGGGCAGGTTGCCGCGCCGCTTCCTCGCCACCGAGCTGCTGTGGCTGGAGTGGTGCGAGGAGTGGTGGTGGCCGCTGTGCGCGCCGTGCAGCCCCGCTCGCCCGGACAGGGGGAGGCCGCCGAGGCCCACGCCGACGTCCTGCTCGCCCTCGGAGCCGCTGTCCGGGTCGTCTGTGCTGCTGGACGACGGGAAGCGCTCCCGAGCTGCAACAAACCAACACGCAGACACAGTCAGACATTTCGTCCAGAGAACTCAACCAAATTAAATCCACAGAGAGAAGGCCGTCGGATAACTTTATTAAAAATACTCCCAGCCCATAAAAACTTGTGTACAACATCCTTGACGGCTTCCCTATCGCTCTAGAGATAACCAAGACAGTTACCACAACCACCAACGGCCGGGCAAGGCGCGGGCACCACTGTACAATCAAACGCCACTCGGCGTGGCCCCTTTACGTATGTTCTTTCTCTCTTTTTTGCACATTTCCGTGCCGCCGCCGCGCCACGCGAGGCCCGACAACCATCACTGTCACAGAGACAGCTTCCGCCCCTACCCTTCCCCTTCCCCCTCCCCCGGGGCACGCGGCACGCGGACAGGGCGTCGGCGTCGCGGCGCCCCGCAACGCACGCCCCACCGAGCGTCTTCCCAATTTAAGCTGCGGGGGTGGGGGTGGGGGTGGGGTGGGGCAGACGCTCTTCAGACAGTAGCGGGCGTGCGCGGGCGTGCGGGCGGTCCGGCGGCAGCGCGGCCAGCGCGGCGGGGCAGGCCTGCGGGTGGCGTCTCATCCGCTATTTCCGTCATGCGGACGCGGCACGCCACCCGCGGCCCAAACTAGGTCGGCGCGGCCGGGCCGCACAGTCGCGCAGGCCGGCCAGGCCGCAGGACCAGCAGACTCAATCCGAGAGTCGTTTTCGTCGCTGTCTCTCTCGTTCTTGTGGGGCGTCCCGCATAGGTGCGAGAAAGACAAAGCGACGAAACGACTCTCGGAATCAGCAGCGGCAGCCGCAGCACCTGCAGCCTCCGGGTGCAGGCCGTGCAGGCTGCAGGTGCGAGGGAGAGGGCCACGCCAGGCAGGTGCACGGACAGGTGCTCTCGGACAAGGCGGCGCGGGGCGGGCGTGGCACTGGCGGCAGGACGCCCTGGCGCCCCTCAAGCACGTGCAGACGACACGGGAACGCTGTCACAACGCCACCGCGCGCCGCCACGCCGCGCCACGCCCCGCGCCAGGCCACAAAGTCAAGAAGATTGACCCAATTTCCTGCTGCCATGACCACGCGCCCCCCGCCCCGCCCTGCAGGGCCCAGGCCCAGGCCGGCCCGGGCCGCGGGGCCACCGGGCCACGCGCACTCGGCTTCACCCTGGCCGCCAAAAAGTGGCGCGTCCGCCCGGCCCCGGCCCCGCCAGCCCGGATATGTAAATACGGCCCCGGCTTCCCGGGCAAGCCGACCAGCACCTTGGCCCTGCCACTGGCCGGCCCCGCCCCGCCCTGCCGCGATCGCGGGTCAGTATTCAAATCGGCTTCTAGGCAGTGGCGGTGCGCAGGCAGTACGGGGGCAGGGCCACAACGACGGCCACAGCCGGCCCGGCCGCGAGCGTGCACACCGTAAGTACAGCGTACAGGCCGTACAGCCGGGCCATGAATGAACCACGCCGCACAACAACACGCCCCAAGCCGCGTCGCCGCGTCGCCGCCACTGTACGGCCGCGGCCGCCGCGGCGCAGTCTGTGTACACAGAACGCAGAAAGGCGGCTTGCGCGCGCCGTCCGACAGACGGACGGGCGGACGGCGTTCAGCGCGCAGCCGCGGGGCGCCCTATCAAGCAGAGACCCACATACTGAGTTCCGTATCGCGGCGTGGCGAGGCGTGGCGAGGCGCCTCCTCCGCCATTTCGCTGGGATCGAGAGCCACCAGAGCCACCGCCTTATCAGCCAACAATGTTATGCAAAGTGGGACGTAACTACGTAACGAACGCCAGTAACGGCAACAAAGCCCGATAAAGACGAGTAGGCCAGAGCCGGGCAGAGCCTCGGGCAGCGCGGGCCGCCGATCGACGAATCGGGGCGCCTTGCCTCTCTGTCCTCTCGCCGTCAGCTCAGCTGTCACGGCTCGAGCACCGCGCCGTCGCGCTGGTCGCGCCCCGCTGTCAAGCCCCGCCACTGTCATTACCGCGACAGCAGACTCACTCCGAGAGCCGTCGCTCTGTCTCTCTCGCACCCACACAGCGCGCCGCACGAGTGCGAGAGAAACAGAGCGACGAAAACGACTCTCGGAATCAGTCTGCCGATTAACAAACGGCACGCGGCGGCACGCACGTCCCGTCCAGGAACAAAAGCAAATTACGGGGCTCGGCTCGGCAGGGCGGTTGGGCGCCACGACGCTGACCCCACCGGCGGCCCCGGCCCTTCAGCGAGCCGAGCTCCACGAGCGCCTTCCGGTGATATCGGTCGAGACAAGACGCCGCCATTCGGATCAGAGCCGCGCTAATCCGACGCCCAATCACGGCGCTCCCTTTTCGCGCCAAATCTCGACGGCCCGCTGCCATCGGCCGGCGAGGCGCAGGCCAACTTGTGGTCTTCATCGCGACGTATCTCCCTCGCACTCATGGGGCATCCCGTGCAGGTGCGAGAGAGACGGAGCGACGGAAACGACTCTCGGGATCAGTCCGCGGGCCAGGGGACCAGGGGGCGCGAGAGGGAAAGCTGCGAAGCTTCACTTCTTTTCCGGCCGTCGTTTAGACCACACGCGCTAACGCCGCGCTGCCCTGTCCTGCCATCGTGCGCGTCTGCCGGGGAGTCCCCCTCCCCTCCCTCCCTCCCCTTGCCCTGGCGACCGCGGCGACCCGCGAGGCGCCCCGTTCCCGTTCCACCGGCAAAAAGAGTAAATAAAAGGGGGGGGGCATACAGTGCAGGGCGGCAGGTGCGTTCCAATAAACACAGCACCGCTTCGCCGCGTCGCCGCGTCGCGTGCACCGGGGCCACTTCCGCGCAGCGCCCCGCAGCGCGGCACGTGACTTGGGAGGGAGCAGGCTGAGCAGGGGGCGTCGGCGTCGCCATGGCGTCGCCCAGCGTCACCGAACAGGTGCAGCCGAGGACACAACACATGCACCGGGCGGGGCGCGCTCGGCGCCTTGCACCGCGGCGCCAAGCAGAACACCGTCACGTGTCAGACTGCTTTCGAGGAGAGTCGCTCCTCTACGGCACGCCCTACGAGTGCGAGAGAGACAGAGCGACGAACACGACTCTCGGAATCACAGTCTGCGGGCCAAACGAGGACCCTGCCCGAGGTGTCGTGGACGACCTTGCCCGCCGCAGCCGCCACCGCCGTCCGGGTCCCCGGTCCGGCTCCGCGTCGCTGTGCTTCGCTTCGCAGCTTCGCGTGCAGCAGCGCCCGGCCGCGGCCAAACTCGCGGGCCGCGACACTCGTAAAGAGGGCGTGGGCGTCGGACGGCGTCGTGAAATACGCGCCAGAGGGACGGCGACGGGCAGCCTTGGAGGCCGCGGCGGCGCGTCCGGCTTTCATGGCCTTCCCTCCCACCCGCACCCCGCAGGGCCGCAGCGTGAGGCAAGCAGACAAGGACAAGGCCCGGCAAGGACGCGAAGAATACGCCATTTGGGCGAGGCGTCCGCCGTCAGGCGTCCTTGGGAGCGCGCCGCCACGCCGCGTCCGCCGGGCCGACGCTCGTCGCCATGCTCGTAACGCCGCCGACGTGACAGGGCGACAATAAGGAAAAGGCGAGGCGAGGCCCGCGGCCCGCACGCCAGCCTAGACCATTTCGGAAAATAAAAACAAACCTCGCAGCGAGGCCGCCGCCGCCGGCGCCGGCGGCGCGTCAAACCCGTTCGTTCGCCAGCGAACCGAACCGTCGCAACCCAACCGTCAAAACGGCGTAAATCATGGGCGGGCACTGCGTGGCTTGGTGGCGCCGCGACGCCGTCCATCGTCCACCGGCGTCGCGAGTCACTCGGGTCGCCCGGCCTCGCCCCGCCTCGGCTTTCTGCGTGCGAGCCATAACACGGCTGGGACGGGACGGCCGGGACGCCGCGGAAACGGGAAACCCAACTGCGGCACTGCGAAACCAAAATCGCCACCAGGCGTCTCGGAAACGGAAGGCGAAAGGAGGAATGCAAAGTCAAGGACCGCGCGGTCCGAGAGTCGTTTTCGTCGCGCTGCGTCTCTCGCACTCACGTCCCGTATGGGCGCGAGAGGGACAGAGCGACGAAAACGACTCTCGGAATCAGTCCTCCTCAGTGCAGCTCCAGTTGCACAACCAGAGGCAAGCGCGACAGAAAGGCGACACGAGAACGCGAAACGCCAATACAGGGACTCGGGGCGGTGGCGACAGCGGCGGCAGGGACACTACACCATCAAGCCTCGCAGATAAACCCTTTTTTGCTCTCCATAATCCCAAGGCGCCGCTCTCGTCTCGTCTCGGCCGCTAGCTCCACGCGCCGGCGGCAGGGCGCGGCACGGCGCGGTGCGGGCCATTGCTATTCATTCAATTCACACTGCCTCCACTCTGCTCGGTGGAGCCTCGCACTGCCTCGCACTGCAGGCCGCGAGGCAACGCGACACATTTAGACGTGGCTATACAAGACAAGAGGCAAGGCAGGCTAGAGGCAGGCAAGGTGAAACCCGAGGAAGTGACATCTCCCTAAAAATAGCGAACAACCGCGTGTGTGTGTGTGCGTGTCGGGGAGGGGGAGGTCGCGGCGGTCAAACCCACACACCTTTCCGACCGCGCGCGCACGCGGCACGCCGCGCGGCCCTAAGGGTCGGCAATGGGCAGCACGTGGTGCGAGGCAGTGCGAGGCAGTGCGAGGCGTCGCGCAGGACAAAGGGACCGAAGGGAGGCGAAGCGGGGCGCGGTGGCGACACGCCGGGGCGCGCCACGCCGTTGCGACACGGGGCCCCACGGGGCACGCCGAGTATGCAAAGGCCCTCCTGCCCTCCACGGCCTGCTCCAGGGCGGCCCTGCACTGTGGCACTGGGCCGCACTGGGCGGGGCGCCGGCGTCGCGCCCACTTTCTCCGCGACGCCCATCCGCCATCCGCAGCACTGCAGTGCCGGCAGTGCCGCGGTGCAGCAGGCCGTCGTCCGGTTCCCGTCCCTCGGCGTCCCGACGCGCGCCACGCCAGGCCGGCCAGGGCCTCGCCGGAGCGTCGCGACGCGACGCGTCTCTACTCGTTGCCAGTCCGCGGGCCG